TGGGCATCCAGCCTGCCACTCCTCAGCTACGGCCAACTGACCTGGACTCTGCAAGGTCCTTCCCCACACGGGAAGGCCACCCTCTATGCCACCCCTACTATTTCAGAGACCCTCAGACCCAGCAGTAGGTAGGACGGCGGCCATGTCTAGCAGGAAGTAGCTACAAGAAGATAATGAGAGCTTCGCCCATTGTCCTTTATAAGATTATAAAGGGGGTTGTCTGAAAGGGGGGATTTGTAACAGGGCACAGCCAGGGCCCCCCAAAAACGTATTTTTGTAACGGAGTCCAGAGATTGGGGTGTCCAAGAAAATATATTCTCCCCACCCCAGGGCAGGCCGCCCTGAGGGATGAGAGCCTTGAGCAAGACCATTGAGAAGTCAGTTTGCATGTCAATAACAGGATAGCTTCATTCCTCATTTGCAAAGAGGATTATTTGGCATATCACCAAAGCTAATCAGGAAGGTAGTTTAAAAGACATAATACAGAATGTAACTGGGAAAGGACGAGGAGAGACGGGGCCTGCAGGAGAGACAAAGGGACACAGACTCTGGGGAACAGTGTGAAGACTACGCGAGAAGAAAGAGGAGAAAAGGACTCTTGCTAGTGGGCCAGGAGAAGGTGCCACATGGTTATGGATTAAGAGCGGGAGATCGCGGCGACGCAGCGGACGGTGCTGAGACCCGCGAGAGGCCTGCCTAGCCGAGCCCCGGACTTCTGTTCTTTTCTTCTTCTGAAGGACGGTACCCTGACTGGGCAAAAGGGGGAAGGCGGACGGTGTGTGTGCTGGTGGTTGTTTCGAAGGCATTTTGAAGTTTAAGGGTGACATTTAGCCATAATCAAACCTATATAACTTTTGAATAAATAGTTCCTTTCCTTGTCACCAAACTGCCATTCAGAGCCATAATTCCAAGGGCGGCAGGCAAAGGACCCACCCCCAAGGGGTTCTGGAGAAGGAGGGTGTCGTTTTGGTAATAGCCTCTGGGCACCCCCTCCCCCACGGGTCCTTTTGTTTGGTAACAATACTATTGCTATACTACTATTTAAGACAAAAAAACCAAGATGGAATGTTTTTAGTGTACATTATAATGCCTCTTGGAGGCTTATAGAATGGGAAAGGGACTTAGGATACTGTATTAAAGATGCCATTCTTGAAATGTAGTTTTACGTAGATTTACCATATGACCCAGCAACTCAATTCATAGGTGTAATTAATGCCCAATAAAATTAAAAACATGTCCACACAAAACATTGTACACAAAGGTTCCCAGCAGCATAGCCAAAAAGTAGAAAAAATCCTATGTCCCTCAACTATGAGTAGATAAAATATGGTACATCTATATAATGGAATATTATTCAACAATAAAAAGAAATAAAGTGCTCATATGTGCTACAAAATGAGCCTTGAAATCATGCTAAATGGAGTCAAGTTCCAAATGGCCACATTGATTCTATCTATACGAAATGTTCAGAAAAAACATAGTTGAATGGTTGGCTAGGGCTAGAGATTAACTGCCTAAGGGATCTCTCTGGGGTGATCACCCCAAAGAGTGGATGTTACTGATGGTTGCATGACTCTAAATTTACTACAAAATCATTAAATTGTATTTTTGAACTGGGTGAATTTTATGGTATGTAGATTACCTCAATAAAGCTATTTACAAAACAATTGTTTTGCTCTTCCTTACTAGTGCATTTAATAGTGCACCAACACTATATAGAATTACCAGCCAGGGTTAGTTAATTTTTATAACAAATGGGGAATCTTTTCCTGAGATAACTGGGAGAGTCTCCTAGTACAGTAATGCCTATAACAGTAGGAGCTTGATCGTTTACTGAATACAGTGTGATAAAGGAGGAAAATCCGCTACAGGAAACTGATCTGTTATTAGTGAAAATCAGAAAATGCCGAGAGAGGAATGGGTGGGACAGGGAGGTTGGGCGGGGAGGGGGGAACTAGGCATATGTTAGCAGGGTAGACAATTCCTTACACTGATTGCCCGATGTAGGCAAGTACAGTTACACACAGGTACAATGTTCACTACTATCATAGTTATTCTCTTTACAAGTAGGAAAGAATTTCAATACCACTCAAAGCGGGGGGGCAGGGAGAGGAATTGCTTTGACTTTCAGACCAAGTCAGAAAAGTTTAATGCCATCTATTATGAATAATTTAAAAGTGATACTAGCATGTTAGTCTTCATTCAAATTCCTTTTAAGTATAAAAATCAAGATGTCAGTGTATGCCTAGGATCATGAAATCAGTCCAATAACAAAAGCACTCTCTCAGACTTGTGCATCACACCTCCGTTTATTAGAGGACACAGGTTTGCCCAAACCAGACCTAGGCTTACATTTGGAAATTTTCCAGGCAAGAAGAGCAGGAGAGGTTCTATTAAATTAAAAGACAATTTTTTAAAAAAGATTTTATTTATTCGTTTCTGGAGAAAGAGGAAGGGAGGAAGAGAAACATCGATAGGTTGCCTCTCGCACGCCCCCACCGGAGACCTGGCCCCCACCCCAGGCCTGTGCCCTGACTGGGAATCCAACTGGAGACCCTTTGATTCACAGGCCGGCGCTCTAACCAGCCAGGGCTAAAGGCCAATTTAAAAGATTTCAGTAGCTAAACAGAAAGCTCCCAGAAACAGAGGTGACAGTCATGTTTCTAGCCCCTTTGAACCATGAGGTCCTGTGAGCACCCCAGCAGCATCAGTCAGAACACCCTGAGACTGGAATATACTTGAGCAACAAGTACTTTCATTTGACTGCCTCTGGGGAAACTCGGGGACTCTACGAAAGGCCAAAGGACACACATGCACACAGGCCAGTTGACCCTATGGTCGCCAGCCTACTACAATAGCAACCTCACTTTTGAAAGTGCTCCTGGGCCTTCATTGAGGAGAGTCATCCTCACTCTCTTCCCATTGACACACTGCTCATAAAGAATCCCTGCCACCGCACCACCAGCACCACAGGAAGCCGTGGGGCACACAGTGGGAAATACAGTACATTGAAATCGAGATACAAGGCACATGCCAGACAATACTATCCACCCTCAATCCCCCACAGTTTTAATCAATCAACTGGTGTAGAAATAAATGCCAACAAAGTAGTGTAAGAAGTGGAGGATACAGTGACGAAGGGAAAACAAAACTAAACACTAGTCCCAGGTGAGGAAAAGGGGAACCTAGAAGAAAAGCAGGAAGAAGAGAGTTGTCATAACCTTTTATCTTCTATCAATACTTGATTTCTCCTTGACATCCAGATTCCAGAATCTCCAAAGAGTAGGGCTGCCAAATTTAGTAAAATAAAAACACAGGATGCTTGCGTTCAATTTGAATTTCAGATAAACAGCAAATCATGTTTCAGTGTATGTCTCAAACATTGCATGGTACCTTACCGATACTAAAAAGTTATTTGTAAAAAGAATATTTTGTCCTTTTAATTAAATTTATTGGAGTATTATTGTTTAATAATATTTTGGAAGTTTCAGGTGCACAACATCAGCATACTCCATTGCGTGCTCACTGCCCAGTCTGGTCTTCTGTCACGTAAAATATTACTGTGTTTTTTCTGGCAACCCTGTTCAGGAGGTTCATTTAGCCTGAGGCTACTCTGATCATATCTTATCCAAGAGCCACAGCAAGGCTCTCTCTCACAGAGCAAAGCCCAGACACTTCACCCACCACAGGGGGAGGTAGGGCGGTATGCGATCCTTTTAGCTGCCAAACGCTCAAAAATCCAATGTTATTTTGGCAGGATGACAGAGTATGGACGTGCTAGAGTTGTCAACCGCATTCCGCCAGGTGGAGAAGTTTGTCTTCCATATCAAATAAGGGTCAGAAATATTACAACTATGGAGAAGCAGGCCTACTGGGATGAGCGATCTGACTCATACTGCCCCAGGGCAGGCTGAGCAACTCCAGCCCCCGGTCTGGAAATCCAACATACTCCTACTCTCTTGGAGCAACTAAAAGACCTCAAAAGGCACACGGGGCTGCACACACACACACACACACACACACACACACACACCCGCCCCAAGATGTACAGAGGAACAGGAAGAGAGCACAGTAGCCTTTATAGTATCTCAAGAGGAATGACAATAAAAGTCCGTGACTGACGTTGCTTTCAAAGGCATGAGGAGGGCCACATTATATTTTTTCATAGCCTCCTCCATGGGAAATCCTAGGTCCTATTAACCCAGCGTCTCTGAAACTGTGTTTCCAGAGATGTTAATAGGTGTTGCATAGGACCAAAAAAAAGTTCAGGATATGCTGCATACTTATTAAAAATTATAAATGCCTATAGTAGAGGAACCTCTTGAGCTTTTATTTACATAGTTGGTCCTTGGCTTATGTGGCCACAGAAACCTTTTAAGGAACAACTATTCCCATCTCACAGAGCTTTGGAAAATACTACTTAACAAGTTTTGCAAAAATGTCTCATCTCAAGAATGGGAAGGACATGTCAACATTGGGAACACCCAGGAATCACGCATAAACTCATCTCTACAAATTAGTGTGTTAAAAAATTAGTGTATTAGAAAGTTTAAGGCAATGATTTGAAAACCCGAGAGCCTTGTCCTTCCATGAGGCACTTTGTTCAACGGTAACTACAGCCAGAAAAGCTGAAATTTGACTTAAAAGCAGACAGGCAAAAGTCTACAAAGAACTATACCAGGCTGCTCTGCTTAGTTGTGGCCTGGCCAGGACAGGAAAGCAGAGCATTTTGTGGTATCTCCTCTTACCCTTTTGATGGGACACACACACGCACGCACTCACGCACTCACGCACGCACGCACTTCCTCCAAAAGGCTCAGACGAAACTACAAAACAGCTATGTACGGACTAGTCTGTCTTTGTCCCTCCAAAAGCCCAATAACCTAGAGCCTAGGGTTTCCAGAAGAGACAAATGGCTCTGTTGGCATTGTTAAACCCTGTCAAAGGAATCCCCCCCACCCATTCTCCATGGATGCAGTCCCTAAGTACCACCCTGAAAACTATAAGAGGACACACTTCTTGGTGTTCTTCTTTGTGGCAGGGTAAAGCACAGCCCGGACAGCTTCCAAAAACACCTCCTGTACCCCATCCTGCGTCAGGGCAGAACATTCCAGATACTTCACAGCCCCCACCTGCTTGGCCAGGGAAGTGCCTTGCTGAGGAGTTGTGGGCACTAGGCTCTGTTCTTTCAGCTTCTTCACTGTCTCAAGGTCACTCCGCAAGTCCCTCTTGGTGCCTACCAGCAGAACAGGAACATTGGGGCAATGACGGGAGACCTCCGGGTGCCACTTATGCCTCACATTGTAATAAGAGGATGGGCTGCTGATGGAAAAACAAATGACGAAGATATTGGTCAGGGGGTAGGAGAGCGTTCTCAGTCGGTCGTATTCTTCTTGACCAGCCGTGTCCCATAGGTTCAGGCTGACGATCTGGCCATCCACAGATGTCTGGGTGCTATAGTTGTCAAAGACAGTGGGGATATACTCTTCAGGAAAGGATTTTGTTGTGTAACTGATGAGGAGGCAGGTCTTACCCACAGCCCCATCTCCTACAACCACACATTTGATGGTCTGCATTCTTCCCTTGGAGTCCTACGTATAAGAGAGAAACGAAGAGTGTCCCAGATGCTTGGTTAATGAAGGGAGCCTAAGCTTCAGAAAATTTCCGAGAAGAGAGGAGGTGAACGCCCCCACCCCCCGCTGCCCGTCCCCTTCATGTCATAGAAGAACCAGCTGGGAAAGGTGGTACAGGGCGAGTTCTTACCATGGACTGCTAGAGGGCAGGCTTCAGTGGGTCCTAAAAGCCGCCTCTGAAGTTGTGTGCAATCCTATATGTATGCACGTAAGTGAATTTTTCTGGAAAGAAGATCCAAAGCTGTTGTCAGTCTTGAAGAAGGCCGTGAGCCCCCAAAAGATTAAAAATCATTCATATACTTAGGTATTTATGCTACATTGTTGTCATAAGGACTGAAAATATGGTATCAAAGGTGATAAATATACTAGGTGCTCAGTAAGTGGTAACTTAAATATATATATATATATAGGAAGAAGGTTCCCAAAGTTGAAACTAAAGAAACAAGGCTCTCATTTTGGGTCTGTGGCTATAGACCCAGCAAAGCAACCTCTCTGTTCCCCCAAAACAGTGACACTTACTACTGAAGTGAAAGGTAGGCCAATCAAAAACAGCCATGTAGCGCCTTGGCGGGTGTGGCTCAGTGGATTGAGCACTGGCCTACAAACCAAAGGGGCGCCAGTTCAATTCCCAGTCGGGCACATGCCTGGGTTGCAGGCCAGACCTCCAGTAGGGGGTGCGCAAGAGGCAACCACACATTGATGTTTCTCTCCCTCTCTTTCACCCTCCCTTCCAAAATAAAATCTTTAATCAGCCGTGATTAAGAGCGCAACCTCTGATGCCCTGGCTGGTGTAGCTCAGTGGATTGAGTACGGCCTACAGGTCATCGGTTCCATTTCCAGTCAGGGTACATGTTTGGGTTGTGGGCCAGGTCCCCAGTTGGGGGATGTGTGAAAAGCAACCCATCACTCACACATGGATGTTTCTCTCCCTTCCTTCCCCTCTCTCTAAAAAGAAATAAATAAAATTAAAAAAAAAAAGAGTCCACGCTCTGAGATCAGACCCCATGGAGTCAAAAACCAGTCCTCTCTTTTCCTGAGCCTTGGGAACTTGGGCAAATCACTAAGCCCTGGGAAACAGAAAGCAGAGTGAATGGTGGTGGCCAGGGACTGCGGAAGGGAGAATCAGGGAGTTGTTTAATGAGGCTTAAATGAAAGAATGCAGGTGCTTGTGGTCCCCAAACGGGGACTGGTTTTTTGGAAGACAATTTTTCCAAGGGGGGCAGGCCTGGGAGGACTGGAGGTGGAGCTCAGGCAGTACTGCGAGCAAAATTCTCCTGCCCACTGCTCACCTCCTGTTGTGTGGCCCAATTCTTAATGGACCAAGGACCGGACCAATACCAGTCCGCGGCCCAGGGATTGGGGACCCCAGCACAGATATCTCCCAGAAACATGTTTACTATGAGCTCCCATGTTCAAACACCCATGTCAATACTCTGGAAATGCCCTACTTTCTCAGTGCCCCAGAGCACTCCAATTTCTTTAGCTTTCTTACTACTGCCTTCATTTCAGACCCAATTCTTATAGCATTAACTTCTTCAAGTGTCAGAACGTGGAGGAAAGGGGATACGTTGTCATACGTATTTGTTTATAGAAAAAAATTGAGAATTAGTTTCTCACCTCAGGACTTGGGGGGAATAGACACATCCGCTATCATGTTGTCTTGTTAGCAAAGGTCCCTATTAGGCCCATATCATAGGCAAAACCAAAACAAAACAACTCATTTTGGGTCTCCGTAAAGAAAAGTTGGCCTCCTGAGTAGGCTTCACACAGGCCCACTAGGGGTAGCTATCTTCCCACACAGCCAATTCAGAACAGGGAAGCATTCCACCCAGAAGCCTTTGGTAGCACAGGTCCCACAGCTAAAAGTCCAGAGGGTAACTCAGAACTAGCAGGTAACCGTCCCAGTGTATTCACTAACCACCAGCTCTTGTTTTTTTTTTTTTTTTCTACCTAGAAACAGGCCTAAAGATCAAACACACAAGGTCATTGGAAACAGGGCAAAATTACTACCACATTCCTTAACTTGCAAGTCTGGATTCATTTCTTTCTCCTCTGAATTCTACAGCAATCACTGCTTGTCTATCTCATCTTCCCAGCCCACTCTAGGTATCATCCAGTGTCAAATATCTCTGCTCCAAGTGACTGCTTTCAGGACAGTATTGCATCTGGGGGGTTGCTGAACCAGACCAAAACTCTTGGGCACAAAACCCACTTTTGAATGCCTAACTCAGCTCCTCATCTCTGTGAGGAAGAAAATGCATCTACACTCACTCCTACTTGTTTATTATCTCCAAATACTCCTAGTATATATGGTGGGCAGCTGGGCACTCCGGTCGCACTGATGGCTGAGGGCCTAGATGATGAAGTACAGCTAGAACACCTGACGTCTGAAACAAAAGTCCAAATATGCTCCCCCATAACAATCTGTCTATGAAAGGGGTGAGGGTGTTCAGCAAAAGTCCCAGGTACTTTGGAAGGCTGTTTTGTACAACTGACCCATTTATTCAGCCCACATATTCATTATACTATTTTATCCACTTGTGCATACATTTAAAATTCTCCACAGTTAAAGAATTTTATAGCACCAGCTAGTGTGGCTCAGTGGATTGAGTGCTGGCCTGCGAACCAGAGGGTCGCCTGTTCGATTCCCAGTCAGGGCGCATGCCTGGGTTGCATGCCAGGTCCCCAGTCGGGGGGGTGCATGAGACAACCACATATTGATGTTTCTCTTCCTCTTTCTCTCTCCATTCCCCTCTCTCTAAAAAATAAAATCTTTTTCTAAAGTTTTATAGTAATACTAAAAATACATCCAGCCCTGACCAGTGTGACTCAGTGGGTTGGGCATCATTTCACAAAGTGAAGGGCCACCGGTTCAATTCCTGGTCAGGGCACATGCCTGGGTTGTGGATTTGATCCCGGGTTGGGGGTGCGCGAGAGGTTACCAATCAATGTTTCTCTCTCACATTGGTGTTTCTCTCCATCTCTTTTTCCCTCCCTTCCCCTCTCTAAAAACAAATAAGTAAAACAAAAGATTAAAAAATATATCCAAAATAATTGAAAACAGAATCTTGAAGAGCTATTTGCACACCCATGCTCATTGCTTCATTATTCACAAGAACCAAGAAGTGGAAAAGTGGAAGCATTCTGAATGTCTATTGGTAGATGAACGGATAAAAAAAATGTGGCGCATAAAGGTATATATTTTTAAAAAGAGGCGTCTTGGCTGGTGTAGCTCAGTGGATTGAGCGCCCCGCCTGCGAACCAAAAGGTCGCAGCTTCAATTATGAGTCAGAGCACGTGCCTGGGTTGCGGGCCAGGTTCCCCAGTTGGGGGCGTGCGAGAGGCAATTTATTGATGTTTCTCTCACACATCGATGTTTCTCTCCCTTTCTCCCTCCCCCTAATAAGTAAATAAATAAAATCTTTAAAAAGTAAAAGATGGAAATCTTTTCATATGATACGCCATGCATTAACCTTGAGGACTCAATGTTAAGTGAAATAAACCAGTCGTAAAAATCCAAATACCACATGGTTCCAATTATAACAGGTATCCAGAAGAGTGAAACTTACTGAAATAGAAAGCAGAGTGAATGGTGGCGGCCAGGGAATGGGGAAGGGAGAATCGGGGAGTTGTTTAATAGGTAGAGAGCTTCAGCTTTTTAAAAGATTTTATTTACTTATTTTCACACAGAGGGGAAGGGAGGAAGAGGAGAAACACCGTTCAGCGAGGGAAACATTGATCTGTTGCCTCTCGCATGCCCTGCAAACCCCCCCCCGCCCTCCTCCCGCCCCGTGTGCCTCGATCTGGAACGGAATCGTGACCCTTAGTTTGGTAGACCGGCCCTCAATCCACTGAGCCACACCAGCCAGGGCTAGGGTTTCAGTTTTGCAAGATGAAACAATTCTAGAGATTTGTCGCACAGCAATGTGAATATAGTTAACAATACTGTATTGTACACATAAAATGGTTAAAATTCAAAGGTGATACTCTTTTTTTTAAAGTAAAAGGTGTGGGAGCTCTAAGAGAAAAGGCTAGGAATTAGAAGAGAAAGGCCAATATTGTGTTTTTCACCTATTTGAGAAAAGCTTGTTTACTTCAGATCCAGCACAATGCTGCCCCCTCCCCATCACCACCACTATCCACACTGCCCCAAATACTACCATGGGCAATGAACTGCTGAGGGACTCAAAAAAGGTACAAAGTAAAAAGAGTGGTAGAAGCTTAACGTGCTGTGGTAAAGGCAGGACTTACAAAAAGGCAATAGTGCACGGCAATGCATGGCTCAGAGGGAAAAAAGTTGCTATAGGGAAGCAAAGGGAAACTAAAAACTGAGGGCCTTCTATAGGCATTGTGTAGAACAGGGGTCCGCAACCGAGGGGCCGCAGACCGCCTCAGCCAGTTTGGAAGTGGCCGCAAGCAAAGCTCTCCCGAGCTCCGCCTCCTGTTCCCCCCTTCCCCCATCCACAGTGGAGGTGATCACCTGAACTCCGCCCTCCGCACCCCGACTCCCCAGCGGAGAGCAAAGCTCACCTGAGCCCCGCCTCGTGTTCCCCCCCCTTCCCCGCATCCACAGCGGGGGAGTGAGGCTCACCTGAGCTCCGCCTCCTACCGTCATCCGCCTCCCGCCCCCGCCACCGTCCTCCACGAAACCGGTCCGCTGTGCCAAGGTTGGGGACTGCTGGTGTAAAGTACTTGTACGCATCTTTTCTTATTTTTAACCTCACAGTAGCATTAAGTAACCGTTAGAACAGCTTAGAGATCTTCAGGGCGCCTCTAGGATTGGAAACTGGGAGAGGCCTGGAGCTGCCAACACCAGCACCCCAGAAGTATCCCTTCCTTGTTAGCCATTTACTGTTAACCTTGGAATTATAGTTTCTTCTCAATCCTCCTACCTCATCTGACAAAGTATCGTTCATGTGTACAGTCTGTACTGCAGTCACTTTTCTCCTAGGTTGAATACACAATATAAAAGACCCAATAACAGTGAAAACAAGAATGCAGCTCAAAGCACTACTGTTTGTACCTCATTCTCCTCCAAGTCTCACCCTTCGGCGAGTCTCAGTCTAATCCACTTGGAAATCACTGAGACCAAAACGATTCAGCAGAAGACCCCCGTTTTTATTTACTACTTTCTGCAACCGAGTTATCCACTAAGTTGGCGGGGCGCGGGGGAAGGTTGCTCACAGTGAAC